GGTCAGCGGACAATAATTTAAGCTTCAATGTTAGCAATTGTAGTGTGATATCTTTTTATAGAAAAGATAACTTAGTTAAGTATAATTATAAAATCGGTGATACTATACTTAGGAGAGTTTCCAGTGTGTGTGATCTGGGGGTTAATTTTTGCTGAAATTTTCGGTTTGATACTCATGTTGATGACACTGTTATTAGGACTCTTTATTTTACTCTAGCTAGATCCATTTTGGAATTCGCTATCTTGAAATGGGTGCTTTATCAGGATGATCAAATACTGAAACTTAAGCGCGTTCAAAATAGATTCCTTCGCTTTGCGGGACGGAAGGCTAACATTGAATACGATCGAATTAGCCATGATTATACGGGCCTTAGAGAGGTGTTAAGGATTTCGGAGTTTGAGTTTCTGAAGAATTTTATACAATTCACGTTGTCATATTAATTAATGATGAAGATTTTTGTTGTTGTTGTAAAATCAATACCAGATTGTTACTTGAATCGAGATGTCGGAGCATTCAAAATATATAGTACTGATAATTTTAACTGGAAACTTCTGAAAAAGAAGATTTCGATAGCGCAGAGTTTTCATATGATAATAAACTTAAAGATGGTTATTTTTACATCCCAAGTAAATTTTTCGTACTGTGTTCTTTGAAAATGTATTAATTTATTGGCCTATAGTAATTAATAAAAAAAATAACCGCGCTTGCTATTTAATTGAAATAATTTTCTTCTATGCTAAATATAAATAATAAAAAGTTTCTCTCTGAAGTGGCATGGTAATTTTTAAGTTAATTAGAAATTTAGTCACATTATTATTAAAAATATAAATAAATAATCATATTATAATAATAAAAGTATTATAAATATATATATATATATATATATATATATATATAAAATTAAATTGTATTCACTATTTTTAGACTTGAAAATGTTTTTTAAGTTGTAAACACCCACATAGCACAATAGTATGAGGTAAGGTTATGTTGAGTACTAATCGTAAGGCTCATAAGGTTACACGATATTGCTGTGGTAGACCTAACGTGAACTAAAAACTTCCGCCATGGAGGTAAGGTTATATGTTAGGGTGTGGTAAGTATATATGATAAGGCTATGGTAACCTTACACGTTAAGGTTGAGATAACCTTACACGTTAAGGTTGAGGTAACGTTACACGTTAAGGTTATATGTCAAGGTTGAGGTAAGGTAATTATTAAGTTGTAAGGTTGAGGTAAGGTTAAGGTAAGGTTGTGATAAGTTTACCAGTTATGGAAAATATTGATAAAATAATTAATAATATAATAAATAAATATTAAATTAGAAAGTTAAGTTTGTTGCTCTTCTCTATTTTGGAAACCTGACATGAAGCAGAAAATTTTGAAAACAAATTTGGGGGGACTGGGATTCGAACCCGGGATCGACGCGCATAAACCAATCATTCTAACTAACTGAGCTAAGTACAGAACTGTCAGAAGGAAAATCAATTTTGCCTTTAAGGTGAACCAAGAATATGATTAACTCCTTAAAGGCAAAATTAATTTTCTTGCTACCAGTTCTCCACTTAGCTCAGTTAGTTAGGATGTTAGGTTTATGCGCGTCGATCCCGGGTTCGAATCCCAGTCCCCCCAAATTTGTTTTCAAAATTTTCTGCTTCATGTCAGGTTTCCAAAATAGAGAAGAGCAACAAACTTAACTTTCTAATCTAATATTTATTTATTATATTATTAATTATTTTGTCAATATTTTCCATAACTGGTAAACTTATAACAACCTTACCTTAACCTTACAACTTATTAATTACCTTAACTCAACCTACCTCAACCTTAACGTGTAACGTTACCTCAACCTTAACGTGTAAGGTTATCTCAACCTTAACGTGTAAGGTTATCTCAACCTTAACGTGTAAGGTTACCATAGCCTTATCATATATACTTACCACACCCTAACAGGTAACCTCACCTCCATGGCGGAAGTTTTTAGTTCACGTTAGGTCTAGCACAGCAATATCGTGTAACCTTATGAGCCTTACGATTAGTATTCAACATAACCTTACCTCATACTATTGTGCTAGGTGGGCAATAAAAAATTTTGCATCAAAATATATTTTTCCCTGATCTACACTGAGAAAACTGGATATTAAAAATCTTAATATACTAGATATTAAGAAAAGATGCTAATGCATATCATCCAGATGTTATAGTTTAATATCTCAGATGTTAAAAAGTATAATCTGTAAATGTGAGGTTATGTTTGAACAAGTCTTTTTCTAATATCTTAAATATTAAATTTGAACATCTAAGATGTTTACATATTTCACTGTCACAGATATTGACCATTAATATATGGATAGAAAAGCTTAATATCCATTTTTCGCAGTGTAGTTGATAAATAAAAAGACAAAAAACGTTTTTGTATTAGAATGTGGTATTCCTACTTTATTGTTTTAAAAAAATTTTATTTATAAATTTAAAAAAATTTTAATAAGTAAATAATTGTGACTTTTATGATTATTATTAGATAATAAAAGCTCTCTATAATTATTATAATATTTTAAAATTGAGGCCTTGGATCGAATAACTCACCTGACGCTCGAAGGCACGCGCTAATACCATTCGGGTAGCAGTGAGTGGCCCAGAGGCGCTCACTGCTCACTGACTGGGATTTGCGCGTTCCTCCGAGAGTCGGGCGAGTTATTCAATCCAAAGCCTGAATTATAATTAATATTTTTTAAAAATAATTATATAAGATTTGAATATTTAATGTTCTTAATTGAAAATTATGTACAAATATAGCATTGAACTTCAAATTCTTTAATAACGTAATTGTTGTTTAATATAAATAATAATTATTAATACTCAAATTTTATAAAGAAATAATTATTCTTAATTATCTTATTATTATTGAGTCACATTTTTCTCAACAGTTATGTGCTCAGAAAAATTCAAAAATAAGTTTTATATATTCCATAAAAAATTCAATGATTTTTCATTATTATGTTACATTGAAAATTAATTACTCTTTTAAAATTTTAGGTAATTTATTTAAAAAATTGTATAACTGAGAGACAAATTATTTGAAAAAAACAAAATCTATATGAATAATGTAAAGTGATATCACTAAATTTGACCTTTATTAAACCACAAAATTTGCACTCATTTATAAAATAGTAAACTATTCCTTTAATTAAACTATTGTAACTAAACCTTTTTTTCACAAGTGGTTTGAAGATTCACTAGTTAGTATGCATATAAGAAAATAAATCTGTAGGCCTTTAGCGCAGCTGCTTTTTTGTAGACCATTAAAGAATATTTTGGACTACTCTTGTAAAAAAAGAATTAGGATCGTACTCAGTCATACTTTTTTGAATACCTTTTTAAAAAAAATTATTTAAAAAAATCTATATTATAAAGCTATTGATATTTTATAATTAAATTTTTTTAAGTTATAATTTTCAAGAAAACATCTTTTTTTAAGTGTAAAAAATGACATCAAACCGTCAAAGATTGACTCCTTGAATAAAAAAACTTTTTAAGAAATCTCATTTTAAAAAGGGTAAAAAATGCCACTTATTAAATTCGCGATTTAAATATATGTATCGCCTTTCTTAATGAATTTCATTGCAAATAAGTTAAGTTCTGAAATCTAGGGACACTTATGAGTGAGAATCGCTCTATCCAGTTTAATTTATCGCAATTTAAAAATTACTATTTTTTCCTATAAAATAGTGATTCTCCGACCACACTGTCTCCCCTAAAATTACAAGAAATAATCATTTTTCTTAAAAAATTGATTTAATTAGATCTGAATATTAAAATCTCTACTGTCGACTTCCGGATATTCAATGTAAGCAATATTCCATTTATTTATCGAATAAATTCATCAGGAGTAGAAAAAAATTAAAAGAATCAAAAAAATTAGATTCACTACAAATTTAAAAAAAAAATTCTGAAAATTACTGCTCAGAATTTTTGCAGCTCCTCTGCAATGTTTCTGAAATCTGTCCGCAGAAATTCCGGAAACTTTACCTCATGGAATAAATTATTGAATTTCCATCATATGTAAATGGCAACAGCATTATCATTAATGTCAACCTAATATGCATTTCAAAAAAATGTATGTTTCATATATCCTTTTTTCAACTCAAAAACAACGTGTCACGTTTTTCAAAAAGAAATTAAACATTTTTTATGTTTCTGCTGTATGTACCAGCAAAATACTATGAATATTTTTAGCTTTATTAGGAAAATTTACAGTAATAAATTAATAAACAAAAATTTAAATTATTATTATTTTTCATTGTAAAGAAATTGCAAAACTGTTAAGAAATGTTAAAATTAAATATTCTCTTAAAATGCAATATGCTACCGTTATCGAAATTTAAACTATTTCTTTTTAAATTAACCTGTTAGTCTGCAAGAAACACTTTTCAAATAACGACTGTAAACTTAGGTTTACGAATTCTTTGTTGGTTGACACTGCATTAAATGTTAGGTCATCTGGACTCTTCAGTTTGTTGGTATTGACACGCGCATAATTATCTTACCTTAGATATAAAAAAAATAATTCAGAAGGTTGTCAATAACATATATGACGTTCCAGGGTGAAAGGGACCTAACGTGCAAAAAATTTATTTCGAGTAATGTCTATTATTCTATTCATGTACAATTCTCACGCGTTGTGTAATACGGATAAATATCAATGTGTAGTACGTAGTGTTGCTGAATTTCAGTGGAACGTCTTCTCCAATCAAAGACGCTCTACTTTAAATGCCTTTCCTGTAAAATTCGCCTATTTCAACTAAGTGGTGGATGCAGACAAGGCTTTTGGAGGGCTGATATATTCGAAAAAATTAAATCCATATAGTGTTATCTCCTTCTATATCATAAAAAATGCGACTCTTGGGAGTCCCCCTGGACACACCACTGTTTTAGCTAAGGTACCTTTCACCGTGGAGCGTCATACATATATAAATACAATTCAAGAAATAGACACAATTATATTAGTAATCAAGAAAATACTTTTAGTATATTTTTTATATTAACACTAATTTTGTTGAAACTCCCCGTTTTAATTTTCTATCATTGTAATAACTAATGGAAGATCACGATAGCTTTTTATACAGCAAAAAAACATGAACATTTTTATACATGAACTGTAAGTACTTGATGTGATTCGGAAATTTGACTTGTACTTGGCTGTTGATGATACGAGGGTTCCTGAAGCCTTGGCTTACTGTAAGGCTTATGAGCACCTCCCTCAAAACTAAAACTAGCAGTGTTATTTCTAATTTCTGCACTAGGTGGTTTGTACAATGGTGGCAATCGATGCATACTGTCTTCTGTGATCATTTCTAGACTTTCATCACCTGGTCCTATGGCTCCTAACGAAACTCCAGATAAAGGTCTTACCACTGAAACTCTAGGTTCTATGGCATCTTGCTCTTTTAAGGGATTTGCGTATCTTCTCAGATTCTCTTCATTTTGCAAATTGTTTGACTTTTCGTCTAGATCACTTCTATGTCTATGGAGAGAAGTTTCACTGCTTGTCGTTGCAGTCAGTCCTGCCCTTTGCTTTATAGATCTCACATACCAAAGTCCTCCAAAAATTGCTAAAACTAGAACTGTTGCTAGGGCTCCACCAATAACCGCTAAAAACCCATTTCCGTTTGAGGTAGTAGGTGTAAGTTCACTTAATGAAGACGTTTCGACTTTTACTTCTAGAACAGATGCAAGAGCAAGTGCTCTATTTAACGGTCTACTCAAAGATTCACCAAGATCTTTGGCAGCTAAAACTGCAGCTTCAGAAAATATTGTTACTTCTATAGTGCCATTGTCCCCAGTTTTCAAGTCACAGAGAAGTACTACTGATTGAGGTCTCCTAGGATCAGCAAGTAGTTTCCTCAGTTTACGACAAATCAATTCTACTGAAGTACCGGCTACTAAAGTTTCTCTTCTAAGTAAAATCGTTACTCTCGAGCAAGTTGGGCTAGTCGTGGCTTGTCCAGGCCAACAGGAAGGAGGCGCTGGAAGGGCTGGTGGTCCTACTCTTTTTCCAGTCTCAGTAGGACGGCACTCGGCCCATGCAGGACAATTTGGGGCTAAACAACTTTCTCCAGGTGAAGGAACACAAACTTCATGAGCTAAACACAAAGTTCCATTTAGACAATTAGAAGGTCCACACCAGACATTGCTGCATTGACTTTTACCATTTCTACACTCACAAATGTTGCATTCGTCATCCCAAAAAGCAGATACGCATTCTGGTCCTCCAGATGTTCGAATTTCACAGTGAGTTCCGGTGAGTCCTGGGGGACAAATGCAGGAGTAGCTGGCAATTTTATCAATACAGGTTGCACCTCCCAAACATGGGTCACTGGCACACTCATTAACATTAATTCTGCAGTCAGGACCCGTGAATCCTGGAGCACACTCACACCTAAACCAATTAACACCATCCACACATCGTCCTCCATTTAAACAAGGAAGAGGCTGGCAATCATCGACGTCTCTTCTGCATTTAGGACCTTCATAGCCTTCACGACAGATACATCGAAACCCCCCATCAACACTATTGACGCAAGTAGCTCCATTTTCACAAGGATTGCTTGCACAAGCTGGAGATGCTATATGACACACTGCGCCTTCCCAACCCAGAGGGCATTCACAAGCAAACCCATCTCCTCGATCCTGGCAGATTCCTCCATGGCGACAGGTTTCTGGTTCACAATGTCCGGCTTGCAAGGCACATGTTTTACCTTTCCAACCGTCTCGACAAATACAAGTGAAGTCTGCTACTCCGTCGACGCAGGTTCCATTGTTTCGACAAGGGGAATTCAAACACTCATTGACATCTGAAATAAATCAGAATTATTTTAATTATTTTAATATTCATAGTTAAATTCTTTTTATTATAAATAAAAGAGAATAAACAAAAACATTCAAACAAATTAATTTCTAAAAAATTGGTTTACTCCAACGTTTGGAAATCTAAATGATTCCCTCTTTAGGGAGTCTAGAAAAACATAAAGTAAATTATATATAAAAAAATTTTTTTTTAACATTCGTCAATAATTACACAGGACCATAAAGGGAAATTGAGGTGGACATGTTCTAAGCATAGGTGACCTTTATGTTTTTGGGGTCGCTGATTACGATACGGTGTCGGTATGAACTCATCACGTCAGAATGAAAGTCAAGTCAAGGTCAAACACCTTATTTTTCAATATTTAATTTTGTTACCTTGTATTCGGAAAAAAAATTTTTTGACTAATCTTTCAAGGTTAATTGGAGATCATCTAGAAGTTCAAATTTTAATTTTATTCTCTTGTCCGGAAAAATAGCTAGGAATATGTTTTTAAAACAAATTGCTTTTTATGTTTTTGGGGTCGCTGATTACGATCCAGTTGTCTATATGACTCCATTACTTCAGCGTCAAGATCAAATCAAGGTTAAAAACCTTGTTTTGAAATATTTAATTTTTCCAACACTGGACCAAGATGACCTTCAATAACTTAACTTATTATATTTATCAACTTATTTAGAATGAAACTTGCCTTGATCGCAAAGATCTCCAGACCATCCTTCTCTACAAATGCATTGAAATGAATTAACTAAATCCACGCAAGTTCCTCCATTCATACAAGGATTTCCGCTGCAATCATTAATATTTTCATGGCAATGGACTCCAGTGTAACCAGGATCGCAAACACATCTTCCTCTGCTGCATCTGCCTCTTCCTCCACAAAGAAATTCTTCGCTCCCACATCCCAGCCCATCGTTAATACCTCCAAATTGAAGGGGACTTGTAGATGGATCTGAACAATTTTTCCCTTGCCACTGAGGTGGACAGTGACAGTAAAAATCCGTTTGTGTGTTGAAGCAAGGAGATAAATTTTTGCAGGGATTAGGGTTGCAATGATCTTTATCATTCTCACATTGATGGCCGGTGTATCCAACAGGACAGACGCACTCATAAGCGTTTGCAAGATCTCTACATTCTCCTTCATTTTTACATGGCTTCGATGCGCATTCGTCAATATCGATTTCGCAATCCTTTCCTGAATATCCAGGTGTGCAAGAACAATGATAATCGTTTACTAGGTCTATGCAAAGTGCTTCATGTTGACACTGACCCACGCAATCGTTAATATTCTTCGTACAATTTTTTCCAGTGAAACCGCTTCTACATCGACATCTGTAATAAAAAATTTTAAATCATAACTTTATGTGAACTGCACTGTAAAAAATATTCGAAAATTTAATACACTTAAAACTATAAGATATAGGGGATTGTATCCATAAGAGGACCGGCTCAAAGGAGTATATACAACCTTTCTGATTTTTATGAAACCAAAAAAAAATTATTGGGAAATATTTATAATAATATGGATTACGTCTGTTATGTGGCAATTGATTAAAATTGTGCAACGAAAATATTTTTGATTCCTCGTGAAGGAAGCTTTGTAGTCCCTTAATTTATAAAATTAAATTGACAAAATTCAATATCAGGCAGAGAAATATTTAGTTTTGGCCTTCTAAAAACCAATGTGCCTATTTTTTTACTTGTAAAGCTTGCACATAATTTTTAAACATATTGCAGTAAGTTCGTACATAAAAACTAAACATTTTTCTCTTTGGAACCCCATCTCTATAAATAACTGTTTCTGAGATATTCCATTTGTAACAACTGCACAGTGCAACAACCGCACCTAGTCTCCCCTACAGCAAAGCACATTGGAGTTGATATTTATATATTTTTAGAGAAAAAATAGATATTTTTTCCGAATTAGAAAAAATGTATACCTAGTGAACTGCCAGTTTTGCTTATTTTATGTATTTTTATGTGTAGATTTCGGAAAAAATATAGTAAACATGATTGGATTTGATCACGCCATAACGGCGTGGTTTGCATGTTGAGACACGCTTTGGTACGCAGGTTGAGACGCGCACGGTGTGAAATAGTATTGCCATTAAAATTCACTTTGAATACACAATTTTCAAGTGCTTTACATTTTGTTCACCTGTAAAAGTTGCGAAGATGAAGATTTCGATTAAATCTCCTTGGGCAGAATAAAATTTTATCTTTTTATTCTCCTCTTTAAGTTAAATTTAAATGTTTTAATTTTTTGCTTCCTGGTGGAGAAAGCTTTGTAGTCGTTTAATTTACAAAAAATTTTAAAATCCTTTAAACCAATTTTCCGATTTTTGTGAACACGATAACTCGAAGACCTCTTCAGATTTGGCTAAAATTTGCCAGGTATATTTATTATAAAAATATCTCGAAATGAATTGATAGACTTTGATAGACTTTATACAATAGCAACTGATTTAAAATTAGTGAATATATTAACAGGATTGATGTCACGTAGCAGTTTATATCCGTGCACTTATTGTTTAGCAAAAAAGATGAGCTCAAAGTTTGTGATACGTATAAAACTGTTGGAAATACACTGCAACATTATAAAGCTTGGATCAAAACAGGGGCCACAAAAACTAAAGCAAAAGAATTCAAAAAATAAAATTGTATTTATCCACCCCTGTTTAACACAAGTAAAAAGAAAATATTTCTTGAGATTATTCCTCCACCCGAGTTACATTTAATGATTGGTATTATCAACACGTTATATTCAAATATACAAAATAAATTTGAGGATGAATCTTTGGCATGGGTAAGTGCGTGTCATGTTGAGCGTGAAATAACTCATGGCAGTCCAGCTTTCAAAGGCAATTCATGTAAAAAACTATTGGATAATATAGATATTTTACGTTCGCAACGAATCATTGGCATCTTAAACTATGTCAGAGTATTTGATGATTTCGAAAAAAGTAGTTACTTCGTGTTTTGGAAATAACTTAAATTCAGATTAGAAGAATTGTAGGTATAAATGCTTTCAGAGTAAGTTACTTACTTTTAGGGATTTCTGTTACTCCGAAAGTGCAGGCAGTGTTTTTTCATGTTGGTCAGTTTTGCGAAAAGAAAAATATTGGTTTCGGATATTTTAGTGAACAGGCTATCGAATCGGTTCACTATGATTTTCAAAAAATTTGGGAGCAACACAAAGTTGCAAAAAAGCATCCCCAATGTTTCGAAAAGCTCTTAAGAGGAACTTGTGCATACAATAGAGAGTCTTTATCTTTAATACAGAGCGTAGGGTATATTTTTCGAATTTATTCACATCACAATAAATACTTAAGCCTATTTGTACCTAAAGGTATTTGCTAAATATTTTAAGACAACGCCTTGACCATCACCTCCAATCACATTCGCTATATTTTTCCTGTAATCTACGTGTGAAAATACATATCTGTACCAAATTTGAGCTTTCTAGGTCAAATAGTTCAGCCGCTAGGGGGGAGCACAAAATTTTCTTCGGACGCAAGAGTCTCATCAATTGGTTATTCCGTCGCTACACCGGTCAACTCTATTGTATGAAAACGGCATGTGCAGTAAACAATTTATAAAGTAGAACATTTTTTAATCTAGAATATGTTAAAAAAAACTTACCTATAATCACCAGCGAGATTAACGCAGGTTAATGAATTCTTGCATGGAGATTCCAAAAGAATACATTCATCAACATCAAATTGACAAAGTGATCCTTGCCAGGAAGAAGGACAGGTACAAGTAAAACTATTTTGTTCATCTACACAAGTGCCTCCATTTTGACAAGGTTGGGAAGCACATTCATCGATATCGGTTCCACAAAATGATCCAGTATAACCTGGAGCACAATCACAAATTGGCATCTCTCCAATTTCTCTACAAATAGCACCGTTTTGGCAAGGGTTCGAAGCACAAGGGTTGTCAACTTTTTCGCAAGTTGAACCAGAAAATCCTTCAGGGCAAGTGCATCTGTATTGATCAGGAGCAGTATTTTCACATGTACCACCATTTTGACATGGTTCGTGAGTTCCGCAATAATTAAGATCTTGATCACACAGAATTCCACCCCAATTTGTATCACAGATACACTGCCAACTTGAACCATTACAGTAACCATGTTTACATCCTGGATATGGGGTACACTGGTCACATAGATCACCTCTCCAACCATGTCGACATTTACACTCGCCACTCACATTGCAGTGCCCATGGACAGGGTGACAACCTTCTTTACAAACAGCTGAAACAAAAATTATTATAAGCCTTTTGGAATTCTGAATCAAAACTACCTATATTTCAGTTTAAACATTTTAGTTGGATCGACCTTTTTGAAATTAAAAATTCTAAACCCCAATTCGTAATCAACGATCATTAAAACACCCAAAAAACAAATTTCAAGCAAATTAACCTCACCTCTCTTAAAAAATATATATCCCACAATATCCTCCCAGTGGACAAAAAACCATCATTGATTTAAAAACGTTCCAAAAACGTTTTTAGAACGTTTCATGTCTGTCAAATAACGTCCCAAAAACGTTATATGTTTCTAAAACGTTTTAAAATCAATGGAACAGTTTTGGAACATTATTTGGCAGACATGAAACGTTGTAAAAACGTTTTTAAAACAATGATGGTTTTTTGACCACTGGGCTATATATTTATATATACTTATGTATTTCTTACCAATTTCGCAATCAGATCCTTTCCATCCTAGTATACAAACTTTGTCTCCATTTGTGTCACACGTGTAATGGCCAAAAATGTCGTCCCTAGGTCGACAAAACTTAGTGCAAGTGGCATTATAGTAATGATCTACACACTGGACCCTCACTTGATAAGCAAGATGTGCATTTCTACCGTGATGATTGAGTGTATGCCATTTAGGTCCTGGTAAAACTATTCCACTATAGTTTGTTTCTTCGATGACACCTGAGCTCCTTTCGTCTCTTGCTTGCAAAATTAATGTAAATTGTCTCTGAAAAAAGAAATTCTATTTGTACTTTTTTACTTAAAAAAGAATATTTATTAAAATTTTTAATGTACAGTACATATAAGATAGCATATGTGTAATTATGTTAAAGATAAAAATTTTTTTTTCTCTAATCCCACCTAAAGTTAACCATTTTCAGTAAGCAAGATCGGCTTAGCAAAGTGTCTGAAATATAAAAAATGCTCAGCAGAATCTTACATAAAGTTTGTAATGTTTGTTTTAAAATAAATTTTCAACGGTTGCCAATTTTAAAATCATCAAAATTAAATTCTGTAATATGTCCGGTAACAATTTTATTAATTTTATACCTATATATTTAAAAAAATGTCTTGAACGTGTCATTTTCTAGAGAATGACCCACAAACAAAAATAATGTTTATACTGTATAATGATTATAAACAATGAAAAACACATTTTTAACAAAAAATTACTTACACTTAATTGAAAATATTAAACTCACATAGGGCAACTTCTTGAGGGCCCTTATCAATTGCCCATATCATTGATTACCAAAAATTTCTAAGTCTAAACAACAAATATTTTTTTACACCAACAAATTAATGTTTATAATGATTGATGAGGGAAAACGTGAGAACCACACAGGGGGCCGATGAGGGCATCCTCATGGATCGCCCATGTGGGCGCCCTCAACAATCAGCTTGTCGTTTCGATAAGGTGTCTCGGCTGGATTACCCACATGAACCCCTCATGGATGTGGGCGATCCATGCGTCCCCCTCTGTGGGCCAACGCCTCTTTTCCACAGGGGTAAAAATAAAATTTTCAATTACTAAAAGAATATCATTTTTTTAAAATTTTTGGAACTTTCAATTAATTTGCATTTGAAACTATTCTTAAAACTTTTCTTTCCGAACTTTTGAGTATAGGAACTAATTTTTTAGAACTTTTGTACTTTAATCGTAAAAATACAAAGTAAAAAAAAAATTGTGAAAAATCTTTACCATTAATAAGAATATATTTACACTTATGAGTAGGCATAAATAAATGAGAGAAGAGTAAAAAAAAGTCTGGAAGAAAGGCGACCATTAAAATCGCAAGCGTGGGAAACCAGACATAAGAGTGAGCCACCAATTAACATCAATTAGTGCTCATCTATTCTAGGTATATTCCTGACTTTGCTATAAGAAAATTGTCGAAACACTATCGTTGAAATACTCCTCACTCTTGCTCTTATAGCTGTCCCTAATATTCTATATTAATATATAAAAAGTCATTTTTACAAGTTGCAAAACGTTTGTGACAAATGTCAAATCCATAAATTGTGACTTGCAAAGGAAGTCAATTTTCATGAAAATAAATCTTCTTAATTTTGTCAGATTAATATAAAATATAATAGTAATTTAAAATCAATGAAAGCTAAAGGTTTTTAAAATTGTTAGTTGTATTAATGTTACCTATTATTAATAATTATTAATCAAAAGTTAAAATAATCGGAAAATATATCTCCAAGTTTTTTAATGCTTTAAGGTTAAAATATGTTTGCATAACTATACATGATTTTAATAAGTAAAAGAGAAGGAGAAAATACTGATTGAATCCTATTTGCAAATTTCCATCAAAAGGTTACAGAACTCCTGCTTTACATACTGGTGCTTTCTCTCTCAACTCATCTCCGAAGCACTCGTCTTCAAAAGAGAAAGGGAAAATAAATATTCTAACTTGTAATATACAATATATATCCTTATATCAAAAATTCTATTATAATTAATCGTATTTAAAATAAAAGAAAAAATCAATTAATATTATTATGGAGCACATTTTTATTTTACATAATTTATATATTATTAAATTATTTTTCTATTTTTAGGACCTTAAGTTTTATACATTAACTTTTTAAGATTTTGTGGCCTTTGGTCCGTAAAAGTAAGGTGTTGATTTTTTTTATTATTAAATAAAAAGGCGCTTTAAAATATTTAGTTTTAATGCAATTTTTGTGAATGTCCCTTTTGTACTTTTTATTAACATTATTGATCTTAGAAGAAGGCAATATATGTAAGCATATCACTATACTATATTTTAGGCTATAAATATGAGTGAAGTTTATAAGGATTATATGAAATATTAATTTTTCCACTTCTTAAATTTTATAACTAGCAACACAAACATTTACCCAGTTCACATGTTCTATAATTAAGAAGCTACATACCAGTTGGGAATGAGTGGCCCAAAGGCACTCACTTGACTAACATTAGAGAGTTTGTCCACGTGTTACACTGAAAAAAAAACTAGTAGATTTGACTACTTTTTAACTACTCTACGTAATTCAATAGGTCCTCAACTGAATTCAAATAGTTGTACTAACTGTCATAAAAGCAGTTAAGACAACTAAGAATGTAGTTGGTTGAATGTGATTTAGTAGTTTATTTGACTAACTTTAAAGTAATTATAACAACTAAGATTTTGGTAGTAGATTTTACTACTTAAAGTAATTCGATAGGCTTTAACGACATTTTTGTTGTAGAATTAACTATTATTTTGTTTTTAAATCTACTACTTTAAGTAGTAGGTTTTACTACCTAAAGTAATTCGATAGGCTTTAACGACATTTTTGTTGTAGAATTAACTATTATTTTGTTTTTAAATCTACTACTTTAAGTAGTAGGTTTTACTACCTAAAGTAATTCGATAGGCTTTAACGACATTTCTGTTGTAGAATTAACTATTAAAAGTAGTTAATGATCTGTTTTATAAAGTAAAAATTAACATCTTTTTGTTTTTGTCAGCAACTACTTAAAAGTAGTAGAATTATTTATTATTATTTATTAATTATTATTATTACTGAAATTCATTTTTCATCTCCTCTAGCATTCCTATTGGTCACATATACTTTATAATTTTCAACACTTATGTACATAATGGAGAAAAATCCTCAAACGCCGGGGATTGAACGCACGACCCTAACATTCGCAAACCGATAACCTAACCACCTAACCACGCTCGCACGCTACGATGGTCTGCATGAAACCTGATGACATTCTTGACATAGATCAACCGACAACTGTAGTTCATTTTACAATGTAATGTAGTAGTATTTACTACTTTTACTAGTTCTTTTTATCTTCTTTAAATTCTTATTTCTGAACTTTGCTTTATTTAAAAATGCTGTTCAATCCTTTCTAATTACTTTAAGTAGTACAATCTACTACTCAATGTAGTAAAACTTAAGTTCAAAAAGTTAAAATTATCTATTATTTTCTCACCAAAACTACTGCATTGTGTAGTAGATTTTGCTACTTAGAGTGGTTCGATAGGCTTCAACAATATTATTCATTTATTTTTATTACTCTAATGTTGAAGTCAAATCAACTACTATAACTACATAAAAGTTGTAAAGTCTATTACACGAAAAAGGTTTGACTAATAAAAAAATTAGTTCCCTCTACTACTTCACGATAGTCAGTTGTGCAAGTCACGTGTTGTTTCAAATTCAACCGTATAAATTCTTTAATTCAACAATTTGGTGTTAACTATATTAAAGTAGTAAAATTTACTAGTTAAGAAAGTGTTACGTTACTTACAAAAGTAGTCCCTTTTACTACTTTCTATTTATTACTATAAAATTGTTAAATTTACTACTTATGAAATGTTGAGTAAACTATTATCTTAGTTGTTCTTACTTCAGCACTGTAGTCAATTCTACAACTTACCTGTTGTTAAAATTTAACTACATATATTAGTAGAATCAACTACTATTTATCAACTACATAAAAATAGTTAAATTAACTACGCAAACCGGGTTAGACTAACTAAAAAAGTAGTTGTTTTTACTACTTTTCACTTAACTACCCAAAGGTAGTTGAATTTGTCAGCCTAATTTTTTTCAGTGTAGGCAAGTTGTTGCATGTAGCTACTAAATTATTTATAATAAAATATAGGTAACAGTGTTATATAACAGATGTTACAATACTGATATTCCTATAATAGTTATATGGATAATTCTCTAGAAAAGAACAAATTCAGAATTATAATTTTATTTAAAAAAAGTTGAAAAATGACTTTTATTACTAGTCCTGTGACAAAAGGGGGATCTTAATAAACCTATAAAATACGTTGTTACAATATTTATTAACATTATTATTATTAAAAATTAATGTTTTTATTCAAAAAGCTTATGTGAAAATTTTTCGCAGCTAACATGATTTAAAAAGTGATGGAAATCGATCAAAACTGGTTTCTCAGTGGTTTTTCTTGTTGCTAATTACGAATCAGGAGCCAAATTAAAAAAATTAAAAATGTCGGATCCAGTTTGGTGGATACTTTTTGAAAAATTTATCGGATTTGCTTGAAACTCGTCACTTGGGGGTGTTAGGGGTCGCTGGTTACAAATCCGATGTTAGTTTTTAAAAATTCAAAATGGCGGATCCAATATGGCGGATGAATTTTTCAAAAATGAATCCAATTACCCTGAAACTTCTTACTTGGGGGTTTTCAGGGTCGCTAATATAGAATCTGACATTAAATTCGTAATCAGAGACCCTGCAAACCCATGAGTAACAAGTGTCAGGCCGATTGGATCGATTTAAAAAAAGTCGTCCCCCATATTGGATTCGCCATTTTGAATTTTGAAAAATGTTTGAAAAAGTCTTCCGCTATATTGGATCCGATATCTTGAATTTTAAAAAACTAACATAAGATTCGTAATCATTGACCTCGATTTTTTATAGAAATTCTTTTTAATAAAATACTTGATGATGAAAAAGTTCCTAAAGAGTGAGAGAAGACTATCACGACCATGTTCTATAAGAAAGGTAACGCTCTCGACCCTGAAAATTACAGACCCACTAAATTGGTTAGTTACACAAGGAGTACTCCAGGGTGAAGTCCTAAGTCCGTACAAATTTTTATCTTTTATATCAGACATGAAAGCTCATTTTGTTAACTGTGGACGTAGAGGTATCTCAATTGATAATATGTTAGATATTTTGATGCTTGGATTTGCAGATGATTATGAATATCTATCTGACACCCTAATAGAGTTGAATAAAAAACTGGAGGCATTGCATTTCTACTGCGAGCTTAATAAATTGACTGTTGATGTTAAAAAGACTAAAGTGTTAATTTTCACAAGATCGGGAAATTCTCCCATCAGTAAATTTAAAACTTTCAAGTTTCGGGATGAGCGTGTAGAGGTAGTCAATGAGTATGTGTGCTTGGGTATCTCATTTGACAGTTTTTGTTCATTTTTGTCTGCGGCTAATATTGCAATTGGTTTCATTTTGAGGGTCATCCAGTCTACCAGAGCATATATAAAATGAGAGTATTTTCAGCCCGATTCATAAAGTTTAACTATATTTTTTTTGCAATTTTCATTCTGTAAAAAAACGTTTTTTGACCATAACTTAAAAAAATGTTAGGACACCTATAAATGTTTTTCTTTAGTTTTGTAGAGTTTTTTCAGACGCATCTTTTGAGCCTTCATTGAACATTTTTCGTCCATATTAGCCAAAGATATTAAAGTTTTAAAAATCTAAATTTTTCGAAAATAATACTTTTTGAAAATTTTGTTGATAAATGTTTATTAATAGTATTAATAGTATTAATAGTTGTTTAGAAATTAATAATTAATTTGAAATTAATAATGTATTTGAAATTAATAATGTATTTGAAATTAATAATAATTTATTTATTTAATGATTAATTAATTATGAAACTGTATTCATTTTTTAATTTTTACAACAACAATAACGAAAAACTAATTAACTTTTAATTAATTATTTATTTCATTAAATATGATTTTCAGATAAAATGTATCTAATTCTCTGGGAGATTTTTCCAAAATTCATAGGAAATACCATCAGAAGCCGGGGTCTTACCCTCCTTGCATTTTTTAAGACTCATCTCTATTCTTAAATAATTTATTTTTCCGCGGGAAAAATTAATTGAAAATAATTATGCCATTACTTTAAGTTAATTCTAACTCTCGCGAAAAATCGGGATCTATACACATTTATAACTTTCCAAAAATCTGTCAATTCTTTGAAATATCTCAAAAATGTAAAAAATCGTCTTCAATAGCAACCATGCGTAATCTGAAATGAGGTATTTCTTTAACTGTTCGTTGACATTGGACAATAAGCTTAGAGCTGTCTAAATATTAATGAATTGCAATATTCATCATTTGGTATGCTAAATTCCAACGTATGTATACTTTAAAATTAGGGACATACATTTGCTGCTCAGTAGTAAAACAACAGCTTTGTAGTTTATTCTCTATTGTTCTGAGTATTTTAACACTTTAAAAAGGTTTTTTAATTTTACCAAAGGAAGTTTGATTTCTAAAGATGAACCAATACAATTTTTTAAATTATTTTCCTTCTCAATAATATTATTAACAATAAATTCATTTTCAATCGTTTCAGTGCTCTCATCTATTTCTTCTTTATTACTTTCATCTTGGCCATTTTCATTCTCATCTGTGTGATTACCATCCATTTTCAAAGTGCCTAACAAATCTTTTGCTGATAAATTCATCTCGAGATTCAATAATTGTGATTAAGTCCGATCAGTCAACATTACCCCTTCGTTTGTATATTGAATATTTGCCTCTTCATCTATTTTTGCTTCTACAATGTTGCTTATCTCATCAAATCAGGGACATTTTTCGCAAGTTCCAAACATGCACTCTTTGTTGTCAATGTTATAGGTGCTTATTGTCAATAAGTTTGTTAAAGAGTTTTCAGGCTTTAATAAAAATGCCATCAGCTTCAAATTTTCATGCTTCACGCACACACATACATTATGGGAGCTTTTAGGACCAGCTAGAACGCACCATTTTGGTCATAGTTCAGCAAATTTTTAGAAACATAATTTTATGTTTGGTATTTCGTCTTTTAAGAATGAAAATAATTATTTTATGGTAAATATTTCTTTTTCTCCAAATTCATTTCTAAAAGATACGTAATCCTTTGCTTTAGAACACATTCTATTATATTCGTCCCTTTATTAAAAATCAATCACTTCTTTCTTCAATGATTCACCTATACCTTCCCGAATTTTGTAAGTAACTTCTGGCAACACTTCCCCGTTAAAATCCACAATTTTGAAAATTTTTTAAAATCTTTTTTCCTAAAATCTTCTGTCATATAACATTACATTTATACCAAGTTTCACAAAAATTGAAAGACCCATGACAAACTTTAATTTATTTGAGAAAAGTCGACCCCAATGTGTTTTAGCCGCGTCTAATATTGCTGACATTAATGCGATAATTGATACCGCAGACTGCGTCCATGAAATACCGCGTAATGCGGAACTGCAGTAAAAGTCGGAAACGCAGTTTAACTCCGGGATGAAAAAGTGAATACAATGAAGATGGACGATATTGCTGGTATCATTTTTGTTATAAGGAAAAAGCAACAAAGTGCCGTGATCCACGTGCTGAGAAATCGGGAAACGATTAAAACCGTCCTTTAGCAGATATTTTAAGTGGAGATTTAGGGTCGCGGATTTTAATAAACCAATTATAGGAATGAACTTTTTATCATATTATGGTTTATTAATTGATCCGCAAAACAAAAGACTTATAGATTCTGTTACAAAACTTTCTACCCCGGGTTGTTCGGCAAATTGTGACAATAAGACATATTGAAGGATCAGAAAATTGTGTAGTCGATGCTTGACATAAACACTTTTTACAGAGTTCGCAATTAATGTAAAACATTTTTCCATAATAAGAAATCAGAACTTTACCTAATAATACAAATTTTTGTTTCTCACATTTTTAGTATCAGGAAAATTATTTTGTACCAAAAAACACTTTTTTGAGAGTATGTACTTTTATATAGTAATTGTTTTTCACCTGGTGAAAATTAAAATTTGCTCCCACCTACTCAACCACTATTATTTTTGACCAATCATATATTCTAGTCAACCAAAATAGAGTATCGTTAAGTTCAAAATCCAACATCGAAAAATCAAAGTTAGTAGGATCAAAAATTACATTTCAATTTTAATCACCCATATGACTAAAACAAGGGCAAAAATTTCCAAAATGCTGTATTTTGGGTAATTTTCAAAATTGTGAATAAATATTTGGAGTTCCTTATCACTACTATAGTAATAAATTTTAAAAAGTACAGACATACACAATTCATAATAGAAGCAATATAATTTAGCAATCAGACAATATACTCAATTTGAATATTAATTTAATACTTTTTTATTGATAACTTACCGTCCATCTAAATGTAAAATGAAGTTGCAATGTGACTGGATCTCTCAGTGTAAAAGTGTTTTGACCCAGAGCATGACTAGATACGTTTCCAAAACTACAGGAACCTACTGCAGTGACAGTAGATTGATATTCTTTGAGGCAGAGCCAAAAGAAAGTTGTACAAGATGTCGTGCAACTTTGTAAGTACACATCACTTGCGCGGATGTCAGGTCCTCCGCCACAACATCTTCCGTCTACCAAGGTGCCTCTGCTGTTCGTGAGTGAAAGTATTTGCACCTCAAAATAACCGCTTCCAGTTGTTGCCTAAAAAATATTTTACATAAAATTTGTTTTAATTTCGTTATATAATATTTAATGACTAAAGATTTTTAAATAAAATGTATAAATCAATTTTTAATTGGCGAAAACATAAGTGTGATTTTAGACAGTCGTGTTTTATTTTGGGCTTATGTTATAAAGCAAAATCTAAAAACCTGTTTTAACTTGGGCTGTCTTTCTCAACCGCAATATCTACTTCGAGTTGGGAAGATGTTTGTTCAATCTAGATTCTTTCCACTTCTTTCTCTCTTTATTGGTTAGATCTAGACCCAACCGCGCAATTCGAAGTATATATTCTGATATATTCTGCCTGCGCAGGCAGGAGCAAGCAGTGTAAATTTTTTAAAAACTAATTCTTAAATAAAAAAAGTTTATTAGTTTTCAGAAGCAATGTACAGTATGCTAAGATCCAACAAGGGTCCTAACCTCTGAGCACGGAAACATTTTTGTTCTAGAAACGTTCCTAAAACGTTTTTAGAACGTTTTATGTCCCCTAACTAAAAAATCAACAACGTTACAGATTAAAAAATCACAACTCTGCTAAACATTTGCAAAAATTAAAAATGGAATCAACTAACCAGCCAGACTTTATTTCCATGCTAAAATGAATCAGTCAAGCCCCAAAAAACTACCCCTAATTGAAATATTAACCAAATTACACATTTAAAAAATTATAAGGGAGACTAAGTGAGGTTGTTACGCTGTGCAGTTGTTACAAATGAAATATCTCAGATACAGCTAATTATAAAGATGGGGTTGCAAAGGGAAAAATATTTAGTTTTCATGTACGAACTTGGTGCAATATGTTTAAAAATTATATGCAAGCTTTACAAGTAAAAAAAATAGGCACATTGGTTTTTAGAGGCCAAAAGTAAATATTTCACTGCTTGATATTTTTTAAATAATTAATAGACCTTTATACTTAACAAAGTAAATTTTCTAATATCAATTCTATGAGGATTAAGCTTCTAAAAATTGCCTTGGTTGTCCATATTTAGTGTATAATTTTTTAATAAAGTGATTTATTGCAAAAAATGTACCTGTTGTGCACAAGTGATGATAAGAACGGATATTTTTTCCAAAATTCAGTAGATTCGTTTGAAATGTAAAATATTTGTCAAAAATGTAATCACACTCATTTTTTATGAAAAATCTCACGTTTTTTCTAAATTCGACTTCAAAATTAATGAAAAAACAACTTTTTCATTTTTAAACAATATTAGGATTGTACACCAGTTTATCCATTCGATTTTTTCCAATAACCTTTTTTTCCACTAATTCTTTTTTCCAATCACGATTTTTTTTACTAATTATTTTTTACATTTTTCAAATTGTTGAATGGTAAACTAAAGTCAACTTCAATTTGTTATTCAATTTGTTTAATGTCAAAATCGTGGCGCGTTTGAGTTTTTGTTTTTCAGTCAACTTCAATTAGTTTAATGTCAAAATCGTGCAGTATCTACTATCTTTAGATCTTTTTAAAAATTCTAAATTTTAAGTAAAATGTTTGTGGAACTTGTGTACAGCGGAACAAAAAATCCGAGACTTCAAGAATTAGATATCGGCCGAAAGATCAGGAGGACAGAAAACATGGCTTGATTGAAATTTGAAGAGAGATTATACAATATGTGGTACAAAACTATGAAGAGAAAAAGGATAATGGCGAAATTGAGGAGTATCTTCGAGCCATCGGACATAATATAGAATTTTGAAAAATTGTTACATTATTTAATTACTTTTTGGAAAAAAAAATTGGTAGTGGAATAAATGGATTGGAAAAAATGTAGTGGAGATAATACTACTGTCACGTAGTATTACGTCGAGTCAAAAGTTATGAATAATTAATAAAAATTGTTATAAAAAATTATTGGTCTTCAATTTAGAAATGTTATAGATGATTCTTGGTATTGTAATAACCGACATTGACTTTGAGCAGTTGTTACAATTTAGACGCTTTCACTCAAATGCTTCTAGTTAAGTAAATAATAGATATAGATCTAAATCAATTATGGTCTTTTAAAACTAGATAATATACCTTTGATTTAATCGTATGACTAAAGAAATTGGAGTTAAACTCTAAGCACTGTAACTGATTTTATCAAAATTGAAACAACTGCACCTATTATCTCCTATACTCTACAAAATCTTCACGAAAATTAAATATATAAAATCAACTAACTAGCAACATTTCATTTCTATGCTAAAGTAGATCAGTCAACCCCTAAAAACTACCCCTAATTGAAAAATTATACAAATTAAACACTACAAAAATTATTACTATGCAAAATCTTCATGAAAATTATACAGCCAAACCAGAAAAAATTTTTGTTCTGACCTGGGGGTCTGACCGAGTGTACCTTATGCTTTTGACGTTGCTAAATTTCAATCTGAGGTTCTTTTTACCCTATCAGATCAGGGATGTGACATAACCTCAAAAAACCAATATCATCCATTAAAAAAGGCTGATTGATAATTATCAATTGAGAGGTTGGATGCTATAAGGGGATACGCGCAATGTTAAGTGAATGGCGCGTATCCCATTATAGCATCCAGTCCCTCAATTATTTAATTATAATAGATATTAACTCACTAGCCATATTTCATTTATATGCTAAAGTAAATTAATCAATTTCTCAGAAACTACCCCTAAATATATTTAAATGTATTTTTTACACAAATGCTTTGTGCATCTTGTTTTTGGATGAATTAGAAGGCTTTAAACGTTGAGGAGAATATCTAATTGGTTGGACGTTCTTAATTGTATGATTTAATAAATGGAAGATAAGGGTAACAAAGTCAATTGAGGATCCAGTGTACAAGTTTTCATATTTAGGAATTATACCTCACAAAATAAATGTTGTATTAATTTAATTTTATGTGTCGTTATTGTCGTTATTAGACATCATTATAGAATCATGCAAAGTCAAGTTTATAAAATTCATTAAAAATTAAACTATACAATGTGGAATTTCCGTAGAATCGTTTCACGTGGGAAGTGTCTATGTGTGATGACTAATTATAATATATACAAAACGTGTAAACTTAAATTTCTTTTTTCAATTTATCGTTGGTACATCTTTAACCTCATAAGAATATTGAATTAACAACATAGTGTAATTGAACCAATAGCAATAACAAACCCACATAATTTGTGCTCAATATTGTGACAATGTTGCATCGTATATTATTGACAACATTTACCGGCAACATTGAGTCCACATTGATTATGTCCCCCTATGGGAACATTGTCACACAATATTGATTCAATATGTTTTTAATAATTCATAATCGAAAAAAATTTATTTTTTCAAACAAAACTTAAGATTTAATTGTAAATGGCTCAAAAATGCACTTTTCTCAATTCTTTACTCAGAAATCATGAAGTTTAATATGTTTTATTTTACACAAAGTCTACTTTTTAATTGGGCATGAAATTAAGTTTTACATTCGCAAGCAAATTTTCTGCAATTTGCCTGGCAAACTTGCTACTAAAGGACAATTTGTTATTTGTCACAAAACTGCAAACTGTTAAAGAAGCGATATGACAGAAAATTTGAAACATTCGTTAATATAAAGAAGTAAATTTTTTCATTGTCAACATTTTTCTTGAAAATTAATATTTTTGCTTTTCTAGAAAATATTAATACTAATGTTTATTATTTAAATGTTAATTAATTATTCTGTTAAAAGTCTTAATTTTGTTGGATAAACCATCTTGAATCATTAATTTTTTTTGGATTATCTAATATTCATTTTATCAATAGTCATAACAAGCGACTCTTTTTTCACGTCACCCATTAATTACTCACCACATCACCTTCAACAAAGTTGAAATAAAAATCTTATTAATTAAATGAAAGGACGAATGATGACGCCAATTTAGTAAGAAACATTATGTCGTTATTATCCGTTCTGCTAAATTTTGAACAAGACCTGTACCCTATACCAAGATAAGAAATCTAAAAGACATATGCCTATATATTTAACTAGCAACTTTGACAATATGCGGTTCTTTCTCATTGACATTCTTTAAACAAGACATTTGTTCTGGGCTACATAAAAACTATTTTCCGAACATTCCAAAGTCGTTTTAATAAGAAGTGCGCAGCATAATTAAGAACTTGACCTTCAGACTTAGGTGTCGGCTCTCTTCATAAGAAAAATGTCTTTTTCACTGGAATGCTTCCCAGTCTATTGGCTAATGAACTACAGATAAAATCAAAAGAATTCTGGATATCAAAATAATTTACATTACCTACACATTTTTTTATATAAGTAGAAGACGATTAAAAATATCCCAGTGGACACAATCATAATATAATTGTATAAATGTTCTAGAACACAAGAAAGAATCACTCAGTTGCTGGTTAGTAACAAAATACTTTCTTACCTCTAACAGTTAATTAATATTTCCACAAAAAAAAGTTGGGTCAAATTATGCCTAAAAAATCAATGTTGTCCCCTAGTTCACCGATTTTAATAAAACAAGAAAATGTTACAGAAATATATACAAATAAAATTTCTAAAACAATTTTTAAAAATTATCGGATTTATAGGGTTTTTCAAATTTTTTTTTTTTTGAAATATTGAAAACGTATAACAATATTCTTATAATATAAAATAATTACTTTATCTCTCGATCATCTTTAATTATTATAAAAAATGAAGAAATCGATTTTAAATTTAGAATGTTTCTTTTTTCTGCGATAGAAATAATGTTTTGTTTTATGCTACACTGAGAGACCTTTTGGTATGTAGAAGACTTTCGATAGGTTGCTGAGTTGACATAGTCTCGTAGCTTACCAACAGGATGCTGTTGGCAAACTACGAGACTATACTTTTGGGCTGCTGCGTTGAGTGTTCAAAAGTTGTACACCTGCAAGCCAACGGTGGCATCCTTACCACTTTGGTGAGCGGCTCACCTACATTTTGGACAGTCGCAAATAAACGTTTAAAACAATATTTCTTTCTTCTAAAGTTGAATT